CTCCATATCTGGCTGACAGATTTAACCCTTAATCCATTTGAAATAATGAGGCACATTCCGTTGATCTGGGTGGTGTTAAGAACAGTTTCAGAAAGTTAATCTGATGAAATCTACTCTTATGTGAGAGAGCTGTGTGGCAGGACTAGTTCTTGGCACCCTGTGTAGAATCGAAACAGGATGTGAAAGCTCAATCAGAATCTAAATTGTGCAAGAGAAAGAGAACTGATTTGTTCTGTTCTCTGATTTTCAGGGGTCGACGTTTTGATGGGAAAGAGGAAGAGGCAATGGAGGGTAAGGGAAATGGTCAGCACGTCCATAATGAAGTGGAGAATATTTTATGTGTGTTGCTTGCAAAGACCAAATACATCATTGTGAATCTGTATTTGTTTATCTAAAGTAATTTTAGAGATTTCCCGAAATTTCCTCATGCTAATATGACTTTGCTATGGAGTGGCTGGTTATCTATGTGTAGATTCCAGTCCAGCTGTTGCCAGAGCAACGAATGACCGTGACATCATGCAATTATTCCCCCCTCCCTACTTCTTATTTATTTTTTTCCAACTTGGCACATGTGAAATAGATGTGAATCATAATAAATAGGGGAAAATGTCTAGTGAATTATATACAGGATATGTGATAAAATGAATAATGTTAACCCAAATCATTATTGAATTGTTCAATTTTGAAGGTGAATTTGTATTTGAATAACAAGAAGAGCAATTTATTGAATTTAAATTATTGTAATTCAAAGAAAATCAAAGTAATGCATTCAAGGAAATTAATTCTCTGAAAAGCTTTTAAACCTCCAAACTAAAGGCTTTGTTTGAAATGACTATTTCTTTGAAATTCAGTACTTCATTACATTCAAATTACAATTACAATTCTGCATCCTCAGTTCAGTTGTGAATGGCACACAGCCATGTTTGTTGTTTGAAGTGAAGCTGTTGACAGAATCCATTACATGGCTTTTTGTTTATGAATTGATAGTTATGCTAATAGGATTTCTTTCAATTGTTCTGCTTTTTGAATTTGTATTTTGTCTTTCTCTGTGAGGTCATTGTTCCTGATATAAACATAAAAAAATGGCTACAGACTTTTTACCTTTGCACAGGCTCTCATTTTTCTGTTCATAATAATTCATCGGAATGCTGAGGAGCACCTGAATACATATAAAACACTTCAACAGGTGTTTACAATCCACCTGAGAGCCCCTGACTGGGTAGAGTGGATGTGTCATGTTCTCCTGCCTCTGCTTTACAAGGGAACAGTTTGTTTCAGCCAGGTGGAGGTCAGAGACTATTGCATCAGTTCGGTAAAAACACAAGCTCATAAGTGAATAAATGAGTCTGATGAGTGAAATAAAAGAAGATTGCAGACCCAAAAGCACCACCCGTCTGGAGGGAATTCCAGAAGCAGCTGCTCGGATTGGCCGGTCTGCTTCGTTACTGTAATTATTTCCCCTCAAGACCTGAAGACCTGAGGATTTTCGACACAGAGAGAGAGAGAAGGGGCAAACAAAGATTTGGCCTATTTTAGGACTGCTTTCATAAAGCAAACAGCACTGCCATCATGCCTTTCTGGAGTCTATCCAGTCTATTTCCTGCAAGGAGACCGACATGGCAGCACAAAAAAAAGGGGGGCCTTCCTTGCCCGGCACCTGCCACTTTTACTGGAGAGCAGGTGCAACTGTGTTCATTAAGATACACATCAGAACACAGAAGTCCTTAAGAGCAGGTTGGGGGCACATTTTGCAAGGCTGCCTTGCAAACACAACATAGCAACAAGGTGAGTGAAGTAATTTCAGCTTGAATAATGGGGGGCGTCTCGTGAGCCTGACAGACATGTGCGGCGAAAGCAATTTCACAGCATCTCTCCGTCGCTGTTCGTGTGATCTATTCGTGGTGTTCACCAACACTGTGGTCAATATGACAGACACCGGTGGTTCGGGCCTGATAAGGCAGCCTGAAAGAACACGGCTTGGGTACTGCACGTGCATCCTCAGTTCAGTTGTGAATGGCACACAGCCATGTTTGTTGTTTGAAGTGAAGCTGTTGACAGAATCCATTACATGGCTTTTTGTTTATGAATTGATAGTTATGCTAATAGGATTTCTTTCAATTGTTCTGCTTTTTGAATTTGTATTTTGTCTTTCTCTGTGAGGTCATTGTTCCTGATATAAACATAAAAAAATGGCTACAGACTTTTTACCTTTGCACAGGCTCTCATTTTTCTGTTCATAATAATTCATCGGAATGCTGAGGAGCACCTGAATACATATAAAACACTTCAACAGGTGTTTACAATCCACCTGAGAGCCCCTGACTGGGTAGAGTGGATGTGTCATGTTCTCCTGCCTCTGCTTTACAAGGGAACAGTTTGTTTCAGCCAGGTGGAGGTCAGAGACTATTGCATCAGTTCGGTAAAAACACAAGCTCATAAGTGAATAAATGAGTCTGATGAGTGAAATAAAAGAAGATTGCAGACCCAAAAGCACCACCCGTCTGGAGGGAATTCCAGAAGCAGCTGCTCGGATTGGCCGGTCTGCTTCGTTACTGTAATTATTTCCCCTCAAGACCTGAAGACCTGAGGATTTTCGACACAGAGAGAGAGAGAAGGGGCAAACAAAGATTTGGCCTATTTTAGGACTGCTTTCATAAAGCAAACAGCACTGCCATCATGCCTTTCTGGAGTCTATCCAGTCTATTTCCTGCAAGGAGACCGACATGGCAGCACAAAAAAAAGGGGGGCCTTCCTTGCCCGGCACCTGCCACTTTTACTGGAGAGCAGGTGCAACTGTGTTCATTAAGATACACATCAGAACACAGAAGTCCTTAAGAGCAGGTTGGGGGCACATTTTGCAAGGCTGCCTTGCAAACACAACATAGCAACAAGGTGAGTGAAGTAATTTCAGCTTGAATAATGGGGGGCGTCTCGTGAGCCTGACAGACATGTGCGGCGAAAGCAATTTCACAGCATCTCTCCGTCGCTGTTCGTGTGATCTATTCGTGGTGTTCACCAACACTGTGGTCAATATGACAGACACCGGTGGTTCGGGCCTGATAAGGCAGCCTGAAAGAACACGGCTTGGGTACTGCACGTGGGTCTGTCAACCGGGGTTCCTTAAGAGACAACGGGCATTCAGAAAGGTCAGAAAAATAGATGACATCAGCTTACTGTAGCGGATGTTTTTGCATAAAGTGCAGCAGTGCTACTATGTATGTCATTTTAAAGGCATTTGCTTTAAATTTGGCTATATTAGGTGATATGACAAGCGTCTGATCCCACAGGAACCAGTAGAAAAATAATTAGGACATGGTAAACATGATGGCGGTGTTGGACAACACGCAGTCGCACAGTTAGATGCACACACGCCCATCTTAAACACATAGTAGCATAGAGAATGATGGCTAACTCTTCCCTGGGCTTCTGTAACAACATATGTTTGTAAGTAATTAAAAGAAGTTCCCAAGCAGTTACTATGTCATATTGAAATACAATATGGTGAGCAAATTACCTTTCCACAGCAGTTTATGCAAAGTTAGACACAGGAGACCGCTTTGCCTCTTCCTGCTGCCACATGGAGGGATTGGCAAAGACAATCTTCTGCTCTATTGATGTATTGACTTCTATTTAGTATGTCAGGAGCTGTACCTTTTAAGAGTATGGGAATAATTGATGTCTTGCCTAGCAAAATTAGGAAAGTGAGAAACATTTCATATTTCATCAAGTCTAAATAAGGGGAGGTGGGACTTATGAAATATGCAGTGTTGGTTTGAAATATTCATATCTAAGCTATAGAATTGTGATGCCCGGAGCTGCAATAGTTGCACATTCAGGTTTCATTGTTGATGTCAGCACTTGAGGCATAGTATGTGTGTAAAACACACACACACACACACACACACAACTCTGTATAGCTATCTTTGTGAGGACATACATTGACACAATGCAATCTCTAGCTCCTTACCCTAAACCTACCCATCATAACTAAGTGCCTCACCCAAACCCTTACCCTAAACCTAACCTTTACCCAATTATAACCTGACCCCTAAAACCAAGTCTTGACCCTCAAACAGGCCTTTAAAAGGCTCTCATAAAGTGAGGACTGGCCAAAATGTTCAAAATGTTTATAAGATTGTCCTCACTCTGATGGTCTAAAACTCAAACTGGCCCTCACAAAGATAGCTGTACACACACACACACACACACACACTCATTGCTTGCCTAATATTTCCTCCTGACTGCTGTTGAGAAGAGACCCCCTAACAGTTGGGCCTATCATTGTGTTTTAAAGTGCCATTATGCTGCTCATTGCTGGATATCAACGAATACACAGGCCTTCAGTTAGCCAACCGCAGCAGTTTGAGAGTGTGAGCGCTTGCTCTCGATCTCCACAGCCCAGACTTCCAGTGCCATTAAGCCCATTACATGACCTGTGCGACTCTTCGCTGCTTCTACAGCTCAAAGTGATGAGTCCTCAAGCAGGAGCATGAAATATCTGATGCAGAAATTAGACTGGAGCTTCAGCAAATGCATTAAAAGAATTGGCTGTTAAACGAGTTACGTCCTCTGGAAGAATTTATGCATAACATCGTATACCGAAGCATAAGGTTTGCATGTATATTGACACCCCGGTATTGACAATTACTTACACGCTGCCCATTTCTGGGTATCAACAAGAATTGAGGAACTACCGGTATAATGAATAATATCTATGTTTTGCAGTTCTGGTTATTGTAGCAATTTTATGAAAAACGATGTATTTATTTATGTGTTCAATCTGCCGTTCTTTCCAACTCTGTGATGTTATTGTTTATGCCAAGGAAATCAAGATTGGATTCAGTCAGTTCCAAGAATACTAAACAGTGTGTGCAGATGTTTCTGTGTCTTTCATTTCCATTCCACGATTGTTATTCTAATCATTTACTAATTAATCCACAGCCATGCAGCATGCTCAATAATATCTCATGGTCTCCACAATAGATTTGGATTTTTCTTACCTTCCCAGGGCTTGGGCTCCATATATATCTCAGACTGAAGATACAGAGGGCCAATATCAGGAATACCACACTCAGAATGATGGCGGCGCACTGGTAAGCACGATACCTGGCCTTTCTTTCCTTCTCTTTCCCCAGCTCAACCTATAGAAAACAGTCATGTTATCATACATTTCTATATTTATATGGTGTGATTTCATGTACAGGTTTTACACATTGAATATTTTATGCACCACAATGCTCAAGTAATAAAGAAATAATCACATAGGCAATTTGAATTCTTCCGAGATCAGAACAAAAGGTCACATTTATTAAAATTGTCCCAAATTAAAAGTTTGTCTGTTCGATTAAATTCCCACAGCTTATGGCTGCAAATGAATAAAGAGAGACTTTTGTTCCGGCTGAGTTCCAGGAGGGAGAATCTAAAAGCTTACAGTGTTGTGCTCCACTGTCTCTCAGGACATGGCCAATCAGAAATGAAATATGGAGGAACAAGCTTCAATTAGCCAACGTCTCTTGCCGAAACAGAAGCTTAAAAAACAGAAATAGCAGTGGTTACCGGGGGTGATATTTAGAGTTTATAGCCTAGACCTCTATGAATGGGTATGGTTTCATGCTTTGATGAAATATTGAATAATGTACTTTATTATAATAGTAATGTTGAAATGTTGGTGTGAGGTGTCATTTAAATGAAATTAATCTTTAAATATATAACTAAAAAGGTCCACTAACAGGTCCACTAACATCTTGAGGTTCAGAGGTTTCATATTTAAAACTATGTATGTTACTTTAAAATGCGAGTTAACATTTTTTCTTCCTTTTGGCTTTTTATAGTTCAAAGCACTTTTTTGAGTCAGCAAGTGCTGTTTACAAGTTAGCAGGCTATTATTATTAGCACTTCTGATATAAAAAATAGTTTCTGTATAATATTAGCATTATGTTTTAATAAAATAGATTCCCCCCCCAAACTGCAAATGTCTAGCCAAATTTGCCAACATATCCTTAAGCACTGTATGTTTTGCTCTGTTTTCAGAGTTATGAAATATTATATAGTCTAAAATATTTTCTATTTTGCAAAAATATCTGTCTGGACCAAAGTCAACACAGTTTTTTCTTACTTTGGTGAGGTCTGTAGAATGGAAAGCGGCGCCATCATTTCTTTGACTTTGTGACAGAATAAATAACAAAATGCGCCAGACTTTATGCAAAACAGTCAAAATGTGGCTTGCGAGACCACATCTGATTTATATAGCAGCCTGCAGCTCTGAATAATTTTATTTGTGACAAAAATTGACAAGGTGATAAAAAACATTCGGGGTTTAAATCCCAGAAGCCCACCCTTAATACTGCCCTTGGTGGTGACTTTATCTCACAGTTTAAGACACAGGAATTAGACCATGTCATTGAAGATATTCTGAACAATTTATTCATATACATACATATATATATTCTTGAAAAGTATGCATACATATAAATGCGCTGAATAAGACACAGTTTCACATTGAGTTTGTCATGAGAACCCTGTTAAAAACATCAAGGTTTAAACCCTCTCACTACGCATGACGGGAAACAGGAGGACAAACAATTAGAGAAGCCTGAAATTCCTCTAAAGATGAATTTCCCCTTGCATGAAGCAAAAATGTGAATAGAGACAGAGCTGAAATCCAGAGGTTGCATAAGCAGTGGAAACTTGACTGGAGGATAACGTTCCATCTGCTCAGAATATAAATGGCTCTGAAAATATACCGACGGCTGCCAGCAAAACAGTATTAAACCGGTTTAAGGTTAAGAATCAGCCAGGCAATTCTGCTGTAGCGGGATTGAGTCTGAGTCTATGGTGATGAAGGGAGCCGAGGGCCCCCTGCTGATGAGAGTGAGTGAGGAAGGGCGAAGAGGAGAAAGAGCGGTAGAGCTGGAGGGAGGGTGCGAGAAAAGAGAAGGAGAGATGAGAGAGGAAAGGGAAAGAAGTTGAAAGAAAGGTGGAAGGAGAGAGAGAATAAGAGAAAAGGAAGAAAAACAGACACTGTAGATGGTTGTCCTTAGATGATTTTCATCTGAATGGATAAAACGGGAAGAACTGGAAGAAAAGGCACAGGGTGAAAGCAAGCAACACAGAAAACTAAACATTCGAAAAGTAATTAACATTTTACCCTTACTTGACATTCACATGTCACAACCTTTGAAAAGAGCAGTTTAACACAAATTAAAGATCAATTTGAGATCTTCCACTCATCAAAACCTCTTTTCTGAACCTTTCAAGTATTTAAAAAAAGAAAAAGAAAATATAATTTAGTTAATTATTTTAGATGTATACATTACAGAGAGAACCATCATTCCACCTAAATATTGAGTTTCTTTACTTCGTAACGTATAAATCTAAAACTTTGAGGATCTGATCTGAATTACTTGCTAATTTTCTATTGCATAAAAAGCTCACATGTAATACTCACATCTTTGCAAAGCCCTCGTTGACTGCTGAAGTAAGGGTTACTCTCCATAACTTGTAGCTGAAGCGAAGATAATCTTCTCTTTAAACCTTCTTCCACCCAGAAGTCCCTCTCACTGGGATCTAAAGATACAAACTTTCTTTCCACTCGTAATTTGGGAACCTGATCAAGAGGGAGGGTTCCTTTTTCAGATGGGATGGAATAACTTTAACTACTGTGCACCTTTTTGTACACAGAACAGATGTCCTGACATTCATCTGTGAATGGAGATTATGCTGATGTGAACATTATTAGTGGCCCAGATTATTTATATTTCTGTTCTGTTCTGTTTCTTCTTTCATGGTCATTTACAGCCTAAAGTTACTATTATTCTGCTATAGCTACTTGGCCATTATTAGTAGGCAACACAATCACATCTGGAAATGTCTATGAGGGTTTCAGGTCTACTAAAACAGAGTTAAAAGCTCGGCAGGAGAATTCACTCTGCTTTCCTTTGCTTTTTGTAGCAAGCAACTTTGGACTTTACAAGCTCACATTTTGAATTTGAAACCATATTTAATAATTAAATCTAAAACAGTGTACTTATCACATGAAAGCACAAGTATCAAAATCATTACTTTTCTCATGATATGAATGTTGACCAACAAAATAATTTTGAAAAAAAGATTTTGCACAATATGATAGCGGTTCTTGTATTGAGCTGTCTCTCTGAGGTCTGCACTTGGAGACTGTGGGTAATGGATAAAAGTTGTGATGTTTATAACCTATAGCTTCTGGTATAACACTTCTCTTACAGCAAAGGCAGAATTTGCAGTTGATCTCAAGATGTGAGCCAAGATTTGAGACGCTTGCATACCTTATATCAGGGGTCTTCGACGTTTTTCAGGGAAAGGACTGCTTTGTGATCTCACAACGTTCCATTAAAATGAATAAAGTTGTCTACACTGCATAATGAACCCCTTACTTACATTGTGTCGTTGTTAATGAGAGAGGATTCGCGAGAGCGAGCATAACTCAGCACCGAAGAGAAACACCGGCGTTTTGAGCGGTGAGTGGATTCTAACTTAAACACCTCTGATTTGCCAGAGCTCAACAAACATGTCATTCACATTCTCCAGAGCTCAAACTCAAAAATCCAATAGAGCATTTGCTAAATCTGTTTTGGAAATAATATTATATCATTACAGTATCAATTGTGGGTGCTCTTGCTTTAATTTCAGTGTGCTTATATTTTACTTTTTTTTTTTTTTTTAACAAAAAAAATATTTATGATCAAACATTAATTGGCGGATCCCCTGCAGCACCGCTGCAAACCCCTGGTTGAAGACCCTTGCCTTATATTGTTTCAAGTTTGACCCAAGACATTTGGAGAAATTTGACCCTGACTTGAAAAATAAGACATGATGAGCACTTAATATTTCTTTTACTTGAAGATGCATGTGAAAGCTTGTGGTGGTCCATGCTGGAAATTACAAGAAATATTGAAGGGCTCTGTAAGATGCTCAATCAATAAAATGGTGACAAACTAGTGTTTTAGACTAATATTTATACAGCCAGTGTCAGCCAGGTTTTTTGCAACCAGCTTGACTAAATCTTTACAGTCGCACTGGCATTTTCATTTTGCATGACTCATCTGTAAATCTGTTTCAACAGAAGCGTGGAGCTCCCATTGAGAGCCATTCCAACCCAGCAGCACTCAGGACAGCATAGGAAGGCTTTCTGAGCCATAAAAATAAAACAAACAACACTTCGGAGAACTGGAGAGACATTGAAAGGCCAAAGAAAACAATGTGAAACACTCAGCCAGTACAGAAGATTAAATCAAATAGATACAGTAGGGTGACGTACCAGTTATTTCTGACTACAAAGAAAAAAAGGTGATTAACTTATTTCTTGTTTCCAATCAGACAAATAAGGCATAACTATGAATCTAACACTTTCTTTTCAACCAAGGTTTTCACCTTAATGCACATTAATAATATTTTTCAGATCTGTCAAACTTATCACTATTTCCACTGTTGTTTCATGCACTGTTATGTGAACCGCAAGCTTGTGTTGTTAATTAATGGGAACACAGACAGACACAGTCATGCTGTTTCTGAGAAATCCATCAGCTACTTGCCATCTGCAAACACATGTTTGCCAATGCCAGACATTATCATGCTTCTCATGAAAGAATGCTAACTTAAGTTCCTCTCTGAACTGTTATTTTTCTCAGATTACTGAAACTTGAATATCAAATACATTATTTTCTGATTGTAAAGGGAGTTTCATTTGCTCATGATGAAGCTTTGCTCTCCTACATGTAGCACAAGAGCCTCCTCTTCTCATCTTTTCTTTTCTATTGCCAAGGCTGCTTCTGTCAAAGATTCACAAAAGACACCCACACACACTGCCAACGGAGACCACTACGAGAGCATGCTGTTTCTAAAGGACTTGGCTGGTGTCACCTGGTCGTGTGATTTAGGGCAAAAATAGGAGGATGAAGAGCTCATCTCTGGCCAACAAAAGTGAGCCTATTAACCACAGAATACATTTAGCTGTGTTCCTCTGTATGCAGGAGAGGAAAATAAACATATCTCATATTTCAATTGGCTTCCGGTCCATGCTCGTATTGACTTTAAAATTCTTACTTTTAACATTCAAAGCTGTGCAAGGAACTGCTCCTTCATGCATATGTGATTTAGTTACTCCATA